TTGAGGGCAGGAAGAGAAGGGGATGACAGAGAATGAGATGGCTGGATGGCATCACTGACTTAATGGACATGAGTTTGGGTAAACTCTGGGAGTTGGTGATGGACAGGGAGGCCTGGCGTGCTGCGGTTCATGGGATCGTGAAGAGTGGGACACGACTGAGACTGAACTGAACTGAATTGAACTGAACTGAATTTGATGATGGAGTGCAGCTTTGCACACCCAACTTTATGGCTTGGTGGGTCAATTCATGATGGGCAGCTCAGGTCACATAGCGATTTGGAGGCCCATGGTTAAGCATTCAGTCGCTACTAAGACCCAGTAGCAGCCAAGAGCTGTTTCTCAAAAGAGGAGTAGGGGCTTCTCTGGTGGCTCAGTGGTAAAGAATCCACCTGCCAATGCAGGAGACAGGGGTTTGATCCCTGGTCTGGGAAGATCCTACATGCTGAGGAGCAACTAAGCTCGTGCACCACAACTATTGAGCTTGTGCTCTAGAGCCCAGGAACTTCAACTACTGAGTCCACATGCTGCAATTACTGAAGCCCATGCACCCTAGAGCTTGTGATCCACCACAAGAGAAGCCACCGTGATGAGAAGCCTGTACAATGCAACAAGGAGTAGCCCCCTCTCACCACAACTGGAGAAAAGCCCATGCAGCAAGAAGACCCAGCACAGCCATAAACAAACATTTTTTTTTAAAATAAAAAAGAGAAGTAGTTATCTGTGGAGGATGGCAGGACTTTTCTCCAATATTCTAAGGGCCTATGTGGCAATTCACCTCTTGGGGCTGCCAAATACTCCAAACAGCATCCCAGTCTGCCACTCCTGTTTCAGCACCATTGGATCTACTGGATCGTGTGGCCCACACGGCAGAGCAGCAGAGCTTGTGCAGCAGCTTGACCTGTTGCAAAGCCTTCTCTTATCCTGGCCCCACTCAAAGCTTACAGCTTTTCAAATCACTTGGTGATCAGGGCAATATAACACACCCAAATGAGGAATATGCTGCTTCCAAAATCTGAAGAGGCCCGTTAAGGTGTTGTACCTCTCTGTTGGTTGTGAGAGGGGCCAGATGCCACAAGTTATCCTTCACTTCAGAAGGGATATCGCCATGTGCCCCACACCACTGTACCTTTGAAATTTCACTGACAGGCTCTGAACTTTAGCTAGATTTATTTCCCATTCTCTGACACACAAATGTTTCACCAATAAAAACCAATGTCTGGGGACTTCCCTGGTGGTTCAGTGGTTGAGAATCCACCTTCCAATTCAGGGCACACGTTCAGTCCCTGGTTGGGGAACTGACATTCTGATCACCTCTGGGCAACTAAGCCAGTGCCCCGAAACTAGAGAAGCCTGCTCGTAACAGCTTCTGTACTGCAACACAGACCTAGTGCAGCCAAAAAAAAAAAAAAGTTGAAAAAACAATACAACATCTGGGGAATTCACTGGTGCTCCAGTGCTTAGGATTCTGCACTTTCATTGCTGAGGACATAGGTTTGATCCCCTGGTTGGGGAACTAAGATCTCACAAGTTGTGTGATGTGGCAGACAAAACAAAACCAACGTCTGCAATAGTTACTACTTCTTGCTCACTAAGTCCAATCTGCATAATGTCACCAATGTAATGGATAAGTGCAATATCTTCTGGTTTTGAAAGGTGCCAACCAGAACATCATGCACTGATGACCAGTGTCAGGGGAGGACTCCAACTACATGGAGGAAGTGCTAAGATCATCACAGTGCTGACCACCAGGAATGGAAGTCTAAGCACTTCTGCCCACTGCATCTGGTATCAGAGTTGCCAAGGAAAACAATGTAGTCAAGCACTGGGTGGAACAGTGCTTCACTCACATAGAGAGGAGATAGAGCAAGATCACTTCAATAGTGGGGACTCCCCTGGTGGTCCAATGGTTAAGAATCTGCCTGCCAATGCAGAGGACATGGGTTCAATCTCTGGTCCAGGAAGATTCCACATGTCACGAGCAACTAAACCCCTATGCCACAACTACTGAGCCCATCCTCCAGAGCCCACATGCCACAACTACTGAAGCCTGCATGCTCTAGGACCTGTGTTCCACAACAAGAGAAGACATTGCAATGAGAAGCCTGAACACCATAACAAAGAGTAGCCCCTGCTCACCACAACTAGAGGAAGTCCATGCACATCAATGAAGACCCAGCACAGCCAAAAATAAACAAAAATAAATAAAATAAATAGAATTTAAAAATAGTGAGTGTTGGTCCCCAGTGGCCAGTGGGTCCCCTCCTGGAAGCCGATGGTGGACAATTAGCCTACATGCACCCACTCTGGTGTCAAGTGAAAAGACCCCTGCCCCTCCCCATAAAATCTGAAATAGCTGGGGGCAAGCCTCAGGACTAGTGGTGCATTTGACTAAGCAGAACACAGGAGTACATTGAGCAGAATACAGAGAGAGATTCCCACTAAATGAAGTGATAAGCTCATTCAGGCTGTGTGGGCTCTTTACCTCCTGCCAGGCTGGATGAATCACAAGCTGGAATCAAGATTGCCGGGAGAAATATCAATAACCTCAGATATGCAGATGATGCCACACATGGCAGAAAGCGAACAGGAACTAAAGAGCCTCTTGATGAAGGTGAAAAAGGAGAGTGGAAAGCTGGCTTAAAACTCAACATTCAAAAAACTAAGATCATGGCATCTGGTTGCATCACTGCATGGCAAATAGAAGGGAGAAAAGTGAAAACAGTGACAGACTTTATTTTCTTGTGCTCCAAAATCACTGAAGATGGTGACTGCAGCCATGAAATTAAAAGATGCTTGCTCCTTAGAAGAAAAGCTATGACAAACTTAGACATCGTATTAAAAAGCAGAGACATCACTTTGCTAACAAAAGTCCATCTAGTCAAAGCTATGGTTTTTCCAGTAGTCATGTATGGATGTGAGAGTTGGACCATAAAGAAGACCGAGCACAGAAGAATTGATGCTTCTGAACTGTGGTGTTGGGGAAGACTCTTGAGAGTCCCTTGGACTGCAAGGAGATCTAACCAATCCATCTTAAAGGAGACCAGTCCTGAATTTTCACTGGAGGGACTGATGCACTCAGCCTTCTTTATAGTCCAACTCTCACATCCATACATGACTACTGGAAAAACCATAGCTTTGACTAGATGGACCTTTGTCAGCAAAGTAATGAATTATCCTCCAATTAAAAATAAAACTTAAAGTAAAAAAATGAATTGGGAAGAACAGTTTTTCTTTCTATTATTTGGAAGGATTTGTGTCCAGTTGGCTTTATCACTTCCTTAAATGTTTGGCAGAATTTACTAGTGCCACATCTGAGCCTAGTATTTGATTTGTGGGAGTTTTTTAAAACAAGAGCTTTATTGAGACATAATTCATACCATACATTCATCCACTTAAAATGTACAGTTCAGTGGTGTTTAGTACATTCACAGAGTTGTGCAATCATTGCCACAATCAATTTTAGAACACTTTCACCACCCCAGAGAGAAACTCCAAACCATTAGCAGTCACTCCCCTTTTGTGGCAATGTTTTTCATTATAGATTCAATTAAGAGTTTTATGCTTCCTTCATGGTCAAACCCAAGGCCCACACTTCAGGACTAGCTTTTCCCCAAGACTCTTGCTCCAAGATCAATGTCAGCAAATGATGAGGCGCTGACCATTTGTGGCACTGGGCTGGGGTGCAGAGAAGACATGAATGAACAGGGCAATGAACCCTGGTTCTATAGAAACCTGAGTTTTAGCACTAGGTTAGAGTTCAGGCTTTGAACAAGCTTCAGTTCTCCCCGAGCCGCTTTGGTTGCATCATGAGGCATGTAGGATCTTAGTTCCTCAATCAGGGATCAAACTCACACTCCCTGCATTGGAATCATGGAGTCTTAACCAATGGATTGCCATGGAAGTCTGGACCTCTAGGGAAGTCTAGACAACTAGGAAAGTCCCAAGCTTAAATTCTGAATCTGCATCTTTGCCTATCAAGTAGGGAGAGTAATCTTTCTATTTTTCATGATTGGGGTGGGACAAATAAGAGAAACCCACTCCAGTATTCTTGGGCTTCCTTTGTGGCTCAGCTGGTAAAGAATCTGCCTGCAATGTGGGAGACTTGGGTTTGGGTTGGGAAGGTACCCTGGAGAAAGGAAAGGCTACCCACTCCAGTATTCTGGCCTGGAGAATTCCATGGACTCTATAGTCCATGGGGTTGCAAAGAGTTGGGCATGACTGAGTGATTTAGAAGAAAAGAAACGAGAGAAATGTGTGTGAAATCACTTTGAAAATTGTGAGGTATTCCAGTAATATTGAGGGCTTCTCTGGTGGTTCAGATGTAAAGAATCTGCCTGCAATGCAGGAGACCCGAGTTCAATTCCCTGGGTGGGGAAGATCCCCTGTAGAAAGAAATGGCTACCCACTCCAGTATTCTTGCCTGGAGAATTCTATGGACAGGGAGTCTGGTGGGCCATAGTCCAGCAGGTCACATAGAGTCAGACATGACTGAGTGACTAACATTTTCACTTTTCGCTTACTTCAGGTATTATTGATGGGCTGGCAATTTAGCTTAGGAGACATAAATAATAAATATAGAAATATAAGCATAGGCAACAAAACATTTTTGAGCACTCACTGTGTGCTAAGCCCTATATTAAGTGCTGTGTGTGCATTACCTCATTGGATTCTTACAATAACCCTGTGAAGTAAGTGCTGTTATTATATTTATTTTACAGATGAGAAAAGTGATGCTTGGAGGGATTAAACAACTCACTCAAGGTTATACAGTTAAAAGGACAACGCGTGGGGAGGGGCTGGTCTGTCTGAGCTGACCAGTAAGCCCATGAGAGGACGGCCTTTATGGGCTGTCCAGGAAGCTGCTCCTCTTCACAGGGGTGCAGGTTACTCCGGTAACCCTTATAAAGCAATCTCTCCCCCACCCTGACGTCTCTGGCCCTCTCCCCGTAATTTCTGTGAATGTCTCCTCTTTGCCCTTCCTATGCACCCCACCCTGAAATTCAGATTCTTCTCATAGCTTCACAAATCAGTTCTGGGATGGATGCAGAGGCTCCTGTTTCCATGGTGATATGCGGAGGCTGATACCACACTCCAAGGGTAGGCGATGCAGAGAATTGGCTCAGGATCCAAAGGAGTCGGCAGTAGCTAGGCTCCGGGAAAAGAGATCGATGAGAAAGCCGAGTCTGAGTGGCTGGACCTCCCTTGGAGCTCCAGAAGGACTTCCACCCCCACCACACCCCTGCCCTCCTCAAACTCCTAATTTGGGAGTAGACGGTAGGAGCCCAGGGGAACGGAAGCGGTGGGGGCTTCAAAGCAGAAGCTACCGCCTGTGACTTGTTTGAAAACAAAGCGTAATCTTGACGGGAGAGGCTGCCCAGTTGGGGGGCCGCCTCCTCCCCTGGCCCCTCTGCCTCACTCTCCTCTGCCTGCTCTGACCTCATTCTTTGAACCGCGGCCGGGTCGCTGAAGGGGAGCCGGGCGGCCAGCAGGGGGCAGAGTCTCCCTCCGTCAAAGCTTCTGCCGGCCTCCTTCCTCTCTGCTCCCCGCCACCCCTGTTCTCACCACGATTATTTTCAGCTGACAGGCTGCAAAGGCGCAGTAGGTGGATTTCAGGACAGAAGAAGGGTTCTGGCAGGGGCTATGAGCTGCTGATGCTTTAGTCTTCAGACTGTGCGCTCGGCTGGGGAGAGGGAGTGCTTAGGGCCCCGAGTCAGGGGCCGAAGCAAGGACACTTTAACCTACTGGCAAAGGTTTCCTCTGACGTTTATCTTGATCCGTTGAAGCACCCTAACCCTGAGGAGGAGGCTTAGTCATCCACTCAATAACTGTTTATCGAGTATCAACTATTATATTCACGGATGGATGCATCCAATCAAATCGAGTGTTTACGGAATGCCTACACAGCGGTCCTTAACCTTTCCGGGGGGCAGAGGAGGGGAAGTTACATATTCTTTGAGATTATGATAAAAAAAATACAGACTCTCTCCCGGAAAGAATGCACTGCAAATCTAGAAATGCTATTGTGTGGTTTCGGGAATCTCATGAACACCTGGGAGTTCACCCATGGGCCTCAGGACTTAAACTCCTGGTTTACTGTGAGCCCTGTGCTGGGCTTTGAGGGTACAATATGAATGAGACACACATAATCCCCACCCTGTCTGAGCTTGAGAGGCTAGTGGGAGACACAGATGATTAAAGACACTTTTACATGTTGAGGTATGGGGAAGTCATTATGGTTTATGTGTGAGTTAACTTGAATTTGATGCTAATTCGAACAGTGTGTTTGTGGCCTATCAAACATACATTGTACATCTGCTTTAATTATTAAGGAAAAGGGCACATTGACCAGAAGTAAAGAATGTCCATGTTAAAAATAAAGATTAAATACCTCCCTTCCTGGGAAGCCAATGCTGAGTACTCCTTCAATGATAAGACTCCCTTCCCAGCTGCCAAGGCCATACTGACTCACTATGTACAGTGTCGGTCTGGTTTTTCTTTTGAAACCTTGAAGGAAGGTATCCCTGACTTTTTCGATGTTCTTTGTTCTGTGCTGAAAACTGCTTTTCCTGAACAGCTCCTCAGAGTTACCTGAGAGGCTGTCTTCCTGGCTATAATCCTCGGTTTGGCTCAAAGAAAACTTTTTTTCTATTCCTATTATAGATCGTTTATTGATTATTTTTCACTGACACAGGACAGTAAAGAAATGCTTAAAATACAGTGGGGAAATTCAGGAGACCCACCAGGACCTAGACCAGGGCCCTTACGGAAAGCTGAGACCTAAAGATGGAGCAGGAGCTGGTCAGGCAAAGGCTTGAGGGAGAACACTCTGGGCAGGGAGAAAAGCAGAGGGAAAACCTCTGAGAAGAGGGAACAGCAGACCCGAGAAGCCAACAGGAGGCCCATGCAGCTGGCTCAGAAGTTCCAGGTGGAGGACGCATGAGAAATGAGGCTAGAGGGTAAGTGCCATATGCAGCCCCTGGGATGTGATAGGGAACAGGGAGACAGCTGCCAGCCTCAAGGACACTGGCAAGAAAGCTGGTGGTTCTGTTGTAGAAGGGTAAGTTCAACACCAGGAGCGAGCAGAGCGCAGTGTGGGAGTGTGCAGGAGGAGCCGTATACCCAGGCTTGGGGACCAGCCCAGGGCCCAGGATGCGAGGCTCAGTGATACACACGGTATATATCAGAATACCCTCAGCCTCTGAAAACAGCCAGAGGATGAATGGGGAGGGAGCAATCACAAGTGCACCTTGGTTTGACTGCATCCTACTATTAGGAACACCTTTTACGCTGGGGTTGAAGAGGGCTCGGCTGGAGTGAGCTCAGCTCTGCCTACTTTTTAACTTCAGAGTTGAGGCCAGAAGCAGCCTTGGCTAGAAAAGTGGGTGAGGAGAGAGAGCAATAGACCGGCCGCCCCCACCCCCTGCTGTAGGGTTAGGGGTGGAATTGGAAGAAAACAGGATGAGACAGACAAGCAGGTGTTGCAATGATTTATTGTCTGTGATTTATTTCAACACTCATCTAGGACTTACTGCATGCCAGGCACTGTCCTAAACACTTCATTTTCATTCATAACACTTCTAGGAAATGGGCATGATCTTCAGCGTCACTTTACACCTGGGGAAAATGAGGCACAGAGCAGTTAAGTGCCTTGGCAAAATCAAATAGCAAGGGACAAAGCCACCATCGGGACCCAGGCCGTCTGGGCTCTTCACCACTGAGTGAGGCTACCTCTGGAAAGGAAGGCATTATCCTTAGCAAGAGCTAAGGATTGAGCCTGGGCCTCCCACACGAGAGGTGAGAATTCTACCAGCCCACCTCCCAGGACACTGATACAGCACTTGGAGACTTGCTCTGCAGGAGGTCCCAGGGCAGTGGGAGGAGCACAGGGAATGGTGAGGCCTTGGACATCTGCTAGACTGAGGCTGAGGATCCAGGACTGGAGAGGGGCAGCGAGCTAAGTAAGAAGGTCAGGGGCAGAGTAAAGTGGACTCTCCTACTGTGGTCCCTGAGCGCCAGCCCCTTCCTCCCTTAGCATTGTCATCTCTAGCCATTCTCCCCTCACGCACGAGGTTTTCATCTTGCTGTTCTTTCCTGCCCCCAGGGTCTTCTTACTTGCTGTGGCCTCTGCCCTGAACCACCCCAACCCCTGCACACAGATACACCCTCCTCACGTTTTCTCAGGCTGATCCCCACTCATCCTTCAGATCTCAGCCTCACTGTGGGTTTTTCAGAGAGGCCATCTGGGATCCCATCTCTGGATTAGATTATTCTGTTATACTTTCATAGTAGTAACCTATTACTTTCCTTTACAACCTATATTATAATTTGAAGTTATAGATCCAATTAGCAATAATCGCGCCTCGGATAAACCTCATTGGCTACGATACTGCCACTGTGCAAAACTTGAAGTTATAGATCCAATTGTGCTTGATGCTTGATTCTCCTGTTAGACCACAAGCTTCCTGAAGACAAGGACCCCACCTTATTCTCCACTTTGAACTTTGCTTATGGACTTCCCTGTTGGCGCAGTGGATAAGAATCTGCCTGCCGATGCAGGGGACATGGGTTCGATCCTGGTCTGGGAAGGTTCCACATGCAACTAAGCAACTAAGCTTGTACACCCTTTCTGCTGAAGCCCAAGTGCCCTATAGCCCATGCTCCACCACAAGAGAAGCCCCGGCAATGAGAAGCCCATGCATTGCAATGAAGAGTAGCACCTGCTCTCCACAACTAGAGAAAGCCCACACAAAGCAATGAAGACCCAGTGCAGCCAAAAAAACAAACAAAATGAAACCTTGCTCTTGGCATAGTGCTAGACACATATACACACTCCATAACGTTTTGATAAATGAGTATATGAATTTAGAAGGTTTCAGAGATCTACTGGTCCACTGCTTGTTTCCCTCTATCATATGCCCAGTAGGCAGTCATTTACTTTCTCTTTGACTATTCCTAGTGTCAGGGAACTCACTACTTCACAAGATGCCCATTCTATATTTGAAGAGATTTAATAGAAAAAAAGGAAAAAAAAATAGAATCATGATGGTTCAGCAGGTAAAGAATCTGCCTGCAATGTAAGTGGCACAGCAGACTTGGATTCAATTCCTGGGTCAGAAAGATCTCCTGGAGGAGGAAATGGCCACCCACTCCAGTATTCTTGCCTGGAGAATCTCATGGACAGAGGAGCCTGGTGGGCTACAGTTCATGGAGTCACAAAGAGTTGGACACGACTAAGCACGAGCACAGGTAAAAGAATAATTCTTTCTTATTGGGAAAAAAACCGACTCCCTGTTATTTCTTTGTCCTAGTTTGGCCCTCTGGAGCTACATGCAATCAAGACCGTCCTTAAGCACTTACAGACAGCCATCCTGCTCGCCCCCTCCACCCTCAAGCCTTTGCTGTGCCACCTAAACAGTTCTTTCAGCTTTGGAAGCCTTGGTTTCTTAACCCGCTCCACCCTGGGCTCTTTTCTCAAGAAACACCTACTTTGGTCAGCACTCAGAACGTAGCCTCATTTATGAATTATTACCCCCTACTCTCAGTCACTTGGCATAGGTGCAGCGGGATGATGGAGGAGAAAGTGAGAAAAGAAAGCTGTTTCTTTCTCTCCAGTGTAAGCAGGGATGTGATTCTCCAGGAAACAATATTATTAATATTGGTTGGGGCCCTGGGCTAGTTCTGAACCCAGTGTACCGTTGTCAGCTGCATTCTGGGTCAAGTGGCCTTTCTGGACCCTTTTCTTTGGGGAAAATGTGTTTGGGTTCCAAACAACCAAGTTATATATAAACCCTTTAGATAACCAGCTTACAAATTGGGAACTGCTTCTAGAGAAGTATTTAGGTAACACCGAGTGGGAGAGTGAAGGGACAAGAACAGAGTGGGCTTGTTCAGAAAAGTTTCCAAGAGGTTTTCAAAGCAAAGGCAGGGAGAGTGGAAAGGCACACAGGCTTCAGAGCCAGACAAACTTGGGTTGAAGTCCCAGAGTTGCCATTCCTACTGGGGGAGGCCCAGCTGTTGTCACCTAACTTTCCTTGGGGTTCTTGTGTCTAGAAAGACAATCATTGCAGAGTTGCCTGACAAGTGCTGATGAATGGTAAGTATTGTCCTGTTTTCAAAGTGTAAGTCTTTTCCCTTGAGGTGAGGTGTCACGATCCATGACTTACTAAGACCCTGACCTCAACACGCAGCTGGCTCACATGCAGGAACATGAGCTGATTACAGGGGACTGTCCGTAAGCAGATGTTCCAAAGCCTGGTGGGGGTAAAGGGGTGCTTCAGAAAGAAGTTGGGGTGACAAAGGCATCGGGGGTCTGAGTGTCCCCCAAAACAGGTGCTTCAGTGCACACCGCTTGTGTAGAGGCGTGTGTCTACGTGGGCCCTGTGAGGTCTGGTGACTGTGCATGCCAGCGTTCTGCCTGGCAGTGGGACTCAGGAGATTCCCC